GGGAGGGACAACCAATATGGATGAATCTCACAGATAATACCAAAGAAAGGAAAGAATAACTACTGCATATGTAGTTGGATGAATCTCACAGATAATATCAAGGAAAGAAAAGAATAACTACTGCATACTTCCAACATATGATGCTCAAGTACAGAGGGAAAAACTAGTTTACAATAAGAAAAGTCAGAACAATGTTTACCAATGGGACGGTGAAAATGTTCTCTATCTTATTCTAAATAGCAAACTATATGGGTGTATATTTAAAAAAAAAACAAAAAACCACCATTGAGGTGATTCTGACTCACAGCAAACCTATATATGACTGAGTAGCACTGTTCCATAGGGTTTTCAGGGCTGTAAATCTTTACTGAAGAAGACTGCCTCATCTTTCTCCTGTGAAGCAGCTGGAGGGTTCGAACTGTCAACCTTCTGGTTAGCAGCCAAATGCTTTAACTATTGGGCCACCAGAGCTCTTTTGGGTCCATATTTATATGTAAAATCTAATCCATCTTTTCACCAAAAATGTAGATATTTATGTATGTATGTTAAAGCTCAATACAATATATATATATATAATATGGACAAATTTAGAAAAATTACCTAGCTATTAAATAGTCCACTTTCAATTTTAGCACCTTCTGCAGAATACTGGAGTCTTGGATGAGATACCGAAGAGCTCGTAGCCCTGCTGCTCTCACTTCTTTAGCTTCATTTAATAAAGCTAACCGCAAACTGTATGAAAACAAAAACAAAGACATTTTGCTGCATGGGTTTCAAATACAAACAAAATTTTAATACTGAATTCTTACTCAGTTGAAATATGCAAACCTTCTAATCATGCGTGGCTAAGTCTATATCATTGCATTTTATGTATATAAAACTCATTCAGAATTAATGAACTTCAGTAGTGTCATTTTTTAATCCATGCCACCTTAGTAAGGTCTTACCAGTCAAGAATAAATAGTTATACTTTCTACAGTTTACTTTATATAAATGATGGGAATTAAAGGTATCTTTCCCAAGATATGTCACATATGCCTCTACAGTACGCTTTCTTGCTTCCATCTTCACAAAAAAAATCACTGCTTTAAACCAATAAATATAAAGATTTTATAATGACAGCAGCCACAGACCATTTATAGCAATTTTAATTCTTAAGAATACCAAATAGGTGGTTATGCAACTGTGTAACATTATTCCTCTACTGGTGTGCTCGGGCAAATTAAGTTTGCCATGTAACACATTTTCTCTTAGGTTTTTAAGTCCTAGAGAAAATTTTATCGGTTCCTCTTGGTTTGGGAAATAATATGGGAACCATGGATTTGCAAATTTCAGTTTAGTAGTTTAAATTACAGAACTCTACCTATTTTTTAGCATTAGCTTTGTTTCTTTGTTTCTGATGATTATAAATTATCACTGAGACCCACACGGTAACACATAAAACTACTGAAAATTCTGAACTTTTCTAATGTTTCAACTATTTCTACAGTATCAAGTAAAAAGTGCTATACTATCCTATTGCTAGTTTAAAATAACTAAAGTCTGGGAGGGGGAGGTGATTTGAAGCACACTTACCAAATAATGATATCCTCATAGTTAAAACCCAATTTTTCTTCACTGTGGCCAATATCACAAAGAAGCTGCCAGAAAAACAAGTATATGTAGATGTTCTGTGTATTTTTATCTACTTATATACATTAGACTAGAAAATAAGATAGTTTTCTTTTAACAAAATTTTAAAAAAATATGTTTCCATCATTCAAATTTGCAGACTTGCTCTATGTTTCTCCATTTAAATATGCATATTTATATCTATCATATTACTTTTCCTATTTTACCTACCAGTTTTGGAGACTCTGGAAAGGTTTCTTGTCAAGAGTGTGTCGTTCCAGCTTTGACAACATTACTGCAGATGGAGCATAATTTTGATATTATGAACCACACTTGTCACACCTTGACCTACATGACAGAGGCACTCCTAGATCATCTGTAGTTGTAATGGAAGCTATTCCTGTCTTTTGAGAAAAGCTGCAAGTGACTCAGCGTAATGATGTAGCAGAGCAAGCCCCAACTGCCTTGGAGATGTTATCCCATAGACACAGTAAAGCCATTCTGCAGGCAGGTGGTTTGGCAGACTGCCTGCTATATCTAGTGCTCTTCAGCATAAACGCCCAAAGAAACGCGCTAGCAATTGCAGCCAACTGCTGCCAGAGTATCATGCTGGATGAACTTCACTTTGTGGCAGATTCCCTCCCACTACTTCCCCAAAGGCTAACCCATCAAGACAAAAAGTCAGTAGAAAGTGCTTGCCTTTCTTTGTTTTGTACATTCAGAGCAGATAATTTCAAACATGAGAATTCACTCCAGCAGGTGGCCTCCAAAGATCTGCTTACAAATGTTCAACAACTATTGGTAATGACTCCACCAAATTTAAGTTCTGGGATTTTTATAATGGTGGTTCGCATGTTTTCTCTGATGTGTTCCAACTGTCCAACTCTAGCCGTTCAACTTATAGAGCAAAACATCACGGATATACTGCACTTCCTCCTGCTTGATATCTCCAACAGAAGTTATCAGGAGCAAATAGATCTTGGTCCCCAGAATCCCCAGGAACTTTATGAACTGATGTCTCTGATTTGCAAACGTATACCATGTTTACCAAAGGAAGGCACCTTTGCAATTGATACCACGCTGAAGGGAAACACACAGAACACAAATGGGGTGATACGGCAGTGGCCCAATGGTCGGGATTTCTGGCATCTCTATAAAAGAACTGATAACCAGATAACTGATGTAGCCCATGAGGTTGGTAAAGTAAGTTTGCCCACTCTGGGACAAGTTTATACTATTGACTTTAATTCTAAGCAGCAAATCACTGTGGACACAGGAACAACATGTGCCATTCAGAGAAAACCTAACCCATTAGCCAATACTAACACTAGTGGATATTCAGAGTTAAAGAAGGATGATACTCAAGGACAGCTTATGAAAAAGGATCTGGAACCAGCTAAGTCTTTTATTAAGACATTATTTGGTGTTCTTTATGAAATGTATACTTCCTCAGCAGGATCTGCAATCAGACAGCTCATCTGACCTTAGAGTAATTTTTAATTAATAATGAATAATTTTTAATTCTTAGTGCCTTAGAGTAATTTTTAGGAAAATTTATTTTGTGGATGCTGAATTTCTGAAGGATGCCCTGAAAAATCATGCTGTTTCAAGTCACATTGATTCCATGCTATCACACTGATTCCACGCTATCAAGCCAAGACCTCAAGATAGTACTTGGAGCACTTCAGATGGCAGAAATCTTAATAGAGAAGTTCATGATATTTTACTTTTAAGTAAACATGATATGTTTACTTCAGAGAAGAAGGTGCGATGCATCAGGTGAAACATTTAGCCAAGTCCAAGTCTCTGTTGATGAGCCCACCAAAGGCTTGTACAAATGGATCCAGGACCCAGGGGCCCATCTACCATGTCACCCAGCAGCAGAATAGCCACGGCTGTCACTAACGCTTGTGGCTGACTTGGGCTCCCCCAACTTGCAGTACAGCTAAGACGACGATCCTTTAGATCTGAGCCCTCAAGATCGATTAAAGTGCTGTTCTAAGGAGAAAGCAACTGCCAAAATGAGGGCCAAAAAGACCAAAGTACTCACTTTCCAGAGACGACAACAAAGTAGACAATCAAGCTAAAAGCCCCACCACTACTTCGTCACCTAAATCTTTCTTGGCAAGCTTGAATCCAAAAACATGGGGAAGGTTAAGCTTATAGTTCAAAAGCAACATCAAATCAGCACATACTGCAGGCATTAGTGTTCTTGCCAGGGCTGCCTACAAGGACCAGTTTTGGGTTTAACTTTCTTGTCTCCTCCTGAAGTAAATGATTATGTTTTATCATTCCATTTTCCCCTTCAATAATTTTACTGTTTTAAAACTATGCTTTTAGTGCATTCAACATGCGTTCTTGACTTTGCCACATCCTCAATAATGCTAGAATTTTAGAATACTTTAACTTCATTTATTTTCCCCTCACCTTTCACTGTATTGTTGTTAAGGATTTTTCGGTACTTACCTGTAAGCCCCATAAGATACTGTTTGTTTTTTTGCAGTCAATGTTTAGTTAGTATCAGTTTACATTTCTTTACTTATTTATCTTTTCCATTACTCTTCACTCTTCTTCATTTTGGTTGTTCCTTAATGGAATCCTCTCTCTCCCATCTGAAGAACTTAGTTTTTCATTGTAGTTGCTTGCTGTTGACTTATTTTTTGATGTTTTCATTTGCTGACTTTCAGTCTAGGCTTGCTGGTAAAAGATTCTCTTGGTTTTCGTTTGTCTGGAAATGACTTTTATTTCATTTTCATTCTTGTAGGATACTTTTGCTGGATATAGGAGTCTAGGTAATCTGGTATTTTTCCCAACAGTTTCAAGATGGCTTCCATTTGCTTCTCTTGAGACGTCACACATCAGTCTTCTTATGTTAGTTCCTTTGAAGATTTAAAGGTTGTGTTTTTGCTTCAGGTTCTTTTTAAAGTTGTGTGTGTGTGTGTGTGTGTGTGTAGGCATATGCACACATGTGCGTGTGTGCAGGTGTGTGTTTGGTTTTCAACAAGCATACTATGATGTGTCCAAGTGTGGTTTTCTTTCTATCTGTCCTGCTCAGGGAAAGTAGAGCTTCCTGAATCTCTGGATTGGTATCTTTGATCAATTTTGGAAAATTCTGGCACACTCTCTCTTCAAACTTGCTTCTGCCTGACTTTCTCTCTTCTTTCTTTCTATTCAATTGCATGTGTATCAGAGCTTTCCACGGGTATCACAAATCTCTGTAAGTCCTTTAAATTCTGTTTTTTTCCATTCACTTTTATCTCACTCCTTCAATTATATGTTTTCTACTGACCTGTCACCTGGGAGTTCTAATCTATTATACCTATCTAAAGAGTTTAATTTTAAATACTGCACTTTTCACTTCTAGAACTTCTATTTCATTTTTCAGGCATTCTGATATTATAATAAAATCTTTATACTATTTTTTATCTATTTTCCACAGACATCTCTATTTTCTTGAACATATTAACCATAGCTATTTCACTTGGATCAATGATTTTAAGGATGGCACAGGACCAGTCAGTGTTTTGTTCTGTTGTACATAGGGTCACTATGAGTCAGAACTGACTTGATGGCACTTAACTACAACAACAACCTACAATCTAAGGAATACTAAGGATTACCAGCAACCAGCAGCTAGAAGAGGCAAGGAAGGATTCTCCTCTGGAGCCTCGGAGGAAACATGGCCCTGCCGGTACCCTGATTTCAACCGTAAAGACTCCAGAACTGTGAGAGCACAGTCTGGGGTTATGTCAGTCATAGGAATATATCATCTTATTATTTTATTCTCCAGCCTCAAAAGCAGTATGAAGTAAGAGTCTGGAGGAGCACACTCTGGCATATGCATAAAATGAATAAATGAATTCAGCTATTATTTTCTCTAGAACCACTGGGAATTAAGGGTCTTCTGAACTACATATTGTAGTTAACTAAAAACATACCATACTTACTCATTTCAAAGAATTAAAATGCAAAGAAACTAGAAAAGAAATTAGTATGTATTTGAGATTCACTAGTTATGTCATTTTATTACCACTGTCACTGTCTGATATTTATATATTAATAAAAAGAAAAAGAGAGTCTGCTTATTATGGTGTTATGAATACTTAGACCCTAGGCATATCAGGACATTAGACGACGTGTAGCATTGGGGAAGTCAACTGCGAAGGAACTGTTTCAAGTGC